AGGAAGACTAATACAGACTCAGACGACTCGGAAGACCTAGAGACGTTCTTGATGGAGGATATGGCGGCGGGAGCTAGCAACTCTGATCCAAGTTATCAGACTATGATCCTGCATGCTTCGACAGAGATAAAAGATGAGCTTAAAAATGAACTAAAGACTTTGAGCGTGGATGTCGGACAATTGAAAAAAGAATTCGGCCAGCTCAAACAAACAATAGAGCTGATAAACAAGAAACTCGATGAACTTACCTTAACAATGAAAATGACCGGGGGGGGGGGAGCAGAAGCAGCTCATCAAATAGCATAGAAAACAGCGGACAAAATGAAGGAGGTAAAGGACTTTGAGGCTTGGGCCAAAAACAAAACTATACTCCAAGAGATTAAACTAAGAGGAAAAAAAGGCCAAACTTCGTGGGGTCTCATTAAACTTTTCTAAAGCAGAAGACCTTACTGTATCTTTAAATAAATGCCTGTGGCAGACACTTGACTCAGCAGAGGTATCAGAGCCCTCCGAAATTATTATCACCTCTGCCTTTCGTATAAACGTGCCGAAAACAGCTCCTGAGGCTGCTACACCAGACATTCTGATTGATTTTACGGAGGTACAGATCAAAAATAAACTTTTTTAAATCACTAGAGAAAAAGAGTGCTTGTCCCTCGAAGACACGATTGTGTTTCTATTTGCCGACATTCCAGCTGAGATACTTCTCACGAGAAGAAACCTTCAAGACACAGCAAAGAAATTGAGAGAACACGGGATCAAATACAGATGGCCATCTAATGGTCATCTAATGGTCAATCTTAATGGCAAGACATTTACCGCATATGATGAGCATTCTGGAAAGAAACTACTGGAAGCGGTGATTAAACAATCAGACGGAGATAATTGAAAGGAGACAGTATGTTTCTGTTATCAGTATAATAGATTTTGTTGAAAGAGAACAATTAAAAGAGAACAAGAACGGAATCTAGAATTAAATCCAAAGTGGCAACTTTTTATTAATGTAAACAAAGTGGCATCTAATAAAAGTATAGCTGTCAATAATTAGAGGGCATGGTAAGGAGGTGGAGGGTGTGCTCCCCTCCAGACCTCTGGTAGTAGGGAGGAGGGTTCGCCTTCCTGCTGAGGGGGTTTCCTCTTCAGCCCTTGGTATCAGAGGCAACCCTGTTCAGCTTACTTTTCAGTTATAGAAGAATACAGAATTATAGAGACTGAGTGTAAAGGACAGAAGCTAGACGATTGAACAGCTAATAATTAACAAATAATCAAATGAAGATGTATTATTGTTAGACTTTAAAGAATATCTAGAGAAATATTGGGATGTAAAAAACAACTTACTTTGCTTTGATAACTATTGAAAAAAGAATGATATTTAGAATATGTTTAAATGTATAAGAACAAAAGTTAAAATATATGTTACCTGTAGAAGTAGATAAACGAGTAAGGGGGAAAGAGGGGAATATAAGACGTGGGCTGGAGGTTGGAGCACTGTGGGAAGTCAGAAGGGGTGGAGAAAAGGATATATGTTAATAGGTAAAATGATGTATGTTTGAATTAAGAAATATATCCTAATAAAACTGTTTTTTTAAAAAAGATGTATTATTGTTTAGCACGTGATTTTGAGGGAGCTGTATGGTGGTTTATTAAGCGGGTAGAATATGGGAATAAGAAATAAAAGGATTAAGGTTAATTTTCTGCTTGTATAGACGAAATGTCATCCTATTTTTTTGTTTTAGATTATGTAATAGAGTACAAATATATATATTGTATGAAATAGTTGTATATATACTCCAAAAAAAAGAAAATGAAAAAACCCCACAATCTACATAATGGGAAAGGATTATTAATGTAAATTACACTTCCTGAGTACTGGGCCTCAACTAATCCAGTGTCTTATTGCTACAACCCTGATTTCAGTTTCTATTTCTGCATGCTGTGTTTCACACACCTAGCCAAAACTCACCTAGATATCTTATGTTAGCGCTACTGCTTTATTTGTACTTTTTGGGAAAAGGTGGGAGGGAGAGAACAGAGGCAATTCCCCCACCACCATCTAAGCCTGACACATTCAGATAGGAGAAAACTTTGCTTGTATACTCTTAAGGTTGGAAGAGCTAAAGTGGGACATTTATCTTTTTATGCTCCATTCTCTCATTGCACAACAGGCAAGCAGCCTGCATTGCATAGTAGCAGCTAGGATCTCAAGCTGCCACACACACACAAACAGAGCAAGGGGAGCAGAAGTATCACATTTCTATGTAAGAGGATATCTCTCTAAAAGCAGACCTGTAGAAACTGCACCAATTCACCCATTGTCATGTACAGGCTTTGTTCTTTTCCACACACACAAAAGTGGAGCACACAGAAAAAACCCTGCTCCTCTCTATCTCACTGTGATGAACACTTAGCTATTTGAGAACTATTGTGCTAGTGAAAGTTTCAATTGCCTCTAGAGAAGAGAGGTCCCTCCCCCCCCCAATCCACCTGAAAACTAACAGGGAGGATCTCTTTGATGTAGGATACAGGAGCTAAGAACTTCACCCCAATTTGGGGAGAGACAAACATTACAGGTAGGAATGTGTTTTCCACCGAAACCAGTGTAAATGCTACCAGAGTAACTGAACTACTCTGAATGCATATAGCTTTAAAGCCTCAGAAGAAAATTTACCAAGCTAAACCTGAACAGAAATAAAATCTGCGGACACTTCTAGTTTCTATTACACATAACTATGAACAGAAACCTGAAGACATACAGACAGTATCTTCTGAAAATTGAGTTAAAAGGTTTCTAGTAGTGACATAGCTCTGTATCCTCTCACAGAACACACAAAGCTGCCGTAAACTAAGTCAGACCATTGGTTTAGCATGGTCAGTACTGTGCACTCTGACTGGCAGTGACCCTCAGGTAGAGGCCTTCCAGGTTACCTACTACCTGATCCTTTTAACAGGAGAATCCAGAGACTGAACTTGACAACTTCAGCATGCAAAGCAGATTGGTCTACCAACTGAATCATGGCCTCTCTCACCCATCTGATTGACTTGTATCCACCACAAACAAAGCTATCAAACCCCAATTTTTCATCTGATACAACCTTACTGCAGCTAAGCAGGTAGGTCTCTGGTCAATGTTTTGACAGATCCTACTATAATCTGCCTCAAGTTCCATGACAGAAGGCAAGCAGGATATAAATGTGATCAGTGAATAAATAAAATTTCTTCAGCCACTCTAGGACCTTTCAAATGTTTCAATCAAATGTTTCAACCAAATGTTTCAACCAAAACAATATACAAGCAGCAACAAAAGTTTAGCTCTCAGAAGAGTCAAGCACAGTATTTTAGCTTCCGAAATGGAGACAATGGGAACACTTTTCCAGCTTTCAGTTACAGTATATTAAGTTCCTATGCTCTGAATTGAAATGTTAGGAAGCCTGCAGTTGATTACCAAAGCTGCATTCACTCACTCTTGTACGCAATACTAGCAGCAACCACCATTACTGCTCCAACCAAACCAGAAGCAAGACTGTGCAAACCGGTTTTTTAAAAAGTGATACGAACATGTAAGTTGGGATTGACTTCCCTTGCCATATGGTGTTGGACAGGAAGAGGAAATTAGCTGGGAGACCAGGGCTCCCAAGTACTTCCTTTAATTCGGCGGGGGATGTATTGTTCTTCGCGGGACCATTCCCGCGGGGAAAACACAGGCGCTGCACTATTCCGTTGCCCAGATGTGGCGTAGGCATGTAGCCGGGCGACGCTTTAGCAATGGGGCTGGAAACTCGATGGTACCATCGAGTTTCCAGCCCCATTGCTAAAGCGTCGCCCGGCTACATGCCTACGCCACATCTGGGCAACGGAATAGTGCAGCGCCTGTGTCCCAAGCAAGAATCTTCCAGTGAGGAAGCATGTGCCCCCGCCGGATCGTAAGTAGGTACTTGGCAACCCTATGGGAGACTCAAACTGCAAGTTTAGCCTTAATCCAGAAACACAGAGGAGTATATGACGAGCCCCGTCCTATTTCTGTACAAAAAAAGGATCTAAAATGTCAACCAAACAATATTCCATAAATACTCAACTGTATATTTAATGTATATAGCAAATCCTTGTGGTCTAATAATGCTGCTCACTGTGCTTTTGCGCCTCCAAATTAGTTTTTCTCAAGTGGCACCTGTAGCTGTTGGCAGGACATTCTGGAGTTCCAGAAAGGAATCTCTGTACCAAAACAGCATTACTCATGCCTCCATTATTTCACATCTAGTCAACCATAGGCACTTAAACAGATTTAAAAGCCCTACACTATTCCTTCAGCAGCACTCCTTTGCTACTACCCCTTTCTGTTTAAAACAAAATCAAGGACAACACAAAGAACACCATTTAAAAACCCTTCTTCCTAACAGGAGCCTCTAAAGTGTTGCTTAATACATCATCGGAAAACAAAATACAACAAGGTTTTCTTCAGAGCTATTTTTTATGCACAAGAGTATATAATTACAATATTTATAATCTGTACTCTGCTAAAATTGCTTAAATTATTCACAACAAAGTGAATAAACACATATTAGTAAAGCAAAGAACAAACACCTGTTCATCCAACTTGAGAATTCAGGATTTTTGCCCTCACCTGGATAGCCCAGGCAAGCCTGATCTCAGAAGCTAAGCAGGGTCGACTCTGGCAAGTACTTGGATGGGAGACCTCCTTGAAATACCAGAGGTGGGAGGGCAGGGGCAGGCTTTATTTAGCCACCTCTCTGAATATTCTCCAGGCCCCCAGTAGGGGTCAGTCACCAGAGGTCGCCATGACTTCCAGATGCACACACACACATACGCACATATAAAAAAAAAAAAGAATTCCGGATTTTTAACATATTTGCATTGGTAATAGATTAGAACGCATACTCACACTGGTAAATAAACCATATAATCAAAATAACTGCTATTTAGCACATTCCAGTCACACAGACCCCATTTGGAAGTTCGCTGTTCTGAAAAAAAGATATGCTTACCTTAACTGGGAAGCTGCATTTGCCAGTCCGAACCCCTTCTTCATCTGTCTGCCACTGGTGCGGCCTACTGGCTTCAGGGACATAAACATCCTTCTTTCTCCTAAAGCTCTGCCGTAATTTATTCATTGCTCAGTTGTCACGTCCTACAAGAATAAAGAATCACATTTTAAGTAAGTGAAATGGCCCCCTTCATTACTGAACAGCCCTAGCAAATGGTGAGCCAAGGTAGCACACTCTGCCAATGTAGAAAAGACCATGTAAGTGTCTGAAAGGCTTGCAGCTACAGCACTTCTGAATATACCCTTATTGCTATAGCAGGTGCTTGTTGGGTGGGAAGGAGTCAGTGTTGCCAACTCCAGGTTAGGAAACTCCTAGAGATTTGGGGGCTGAAGCGTGGGGAAGGTAGGGTTTGAGGAGGAGAAGGACCTTAAAGGGATATAATACCATAGATTCTACCTTCCAAAGTAGCCATTTCTTTCAGCTGGGGCTGGAGATCATCCAGAATTACAACTGCTCTCAAGATGATAAAGATCAGTTCTGCTGGAGAAAATGGCTGCTTTGAAGGGTGGATACTATGGCGTTTTATCCTGCTAGGGTTGCTTCCCTCCCCAAACCTCACCTTCCCAAAGCTCCATTCCCAAAGCTCCAGGAATTTCCCAAGCTGGTGCTGGCAAACCTAACTGGGGGAACTGATCTCTGTAGTTGGGAGATCTGTTGTGATTCCAGGAGATCTCCAGGCCCAGGAGGTTGGCAAACCTTGAAGAAGGAAGCAGGAAAAGGGGAAAGACTTTGGAGGCTTTCAAGAAAGGAAAAGTGGAAACAATGGGGGAGGGGGAAATGAGAAGCCTCCCACAAGTTCTTGCGGGTTCCCACTTGTGGCTTATCTGAACTGAAAAACAGAATGTATATGGTTGCCTTGGCTGAATTTGAATACAAGGTATTCTCAGAAGTTTAACCTTACTATGTTCTTCGAATAAGCCTGCTGGTCCCTCTGTTGTTTCCAAAGCCAGAAAATAGCAGCTTACATTGGTAGTCTGGATCGCTGCGCTTTCTTTACATGGACAGACCTCAGACTAGTTCACTGATGCTGTGTGAGATGCCCTATTATTATAAAGTGCATGAGTGTGCATTCAGTTAGAAGTTGCTGGCTTAGGTCTGATAAATTCAAATGCCAATTAGAAGGAATTAGTGTTCTGCTCATTCAAATATTTGACATACACATTAAATAATGCACTAGTAAATATCTTGGGAAGACTTGTAGCATGATATGGGTTAGTTGTATGCTGATTTAGAAGATCTGAGTATACTTTCTCTTTCATATTTGGTGCACTGGTGTTCTTTAGGGAGTACCTGCTCTGCACAGCCTACAAGTGGTGGTGGGGTTTTCCTCCCATCACTGTCTTGTTTTCTTTGTGGCTTATTAAATAACATCAGCAATATAGGGGCTTGGGACAATTTTTTTTTGTTTTATGTTTAGGCTTTTTAAAGCTTTTCAATATCCATTAAACACACGTTCAGCTCTTAAAAAATAAATCCTTTCTTTTTCACCTCTGAAAAATGCCATTTAAAATTCTGTACCAATAATGGTGACCTTTAATCTAGAATCTTAGTACAGACTCTCATGATGGCTTATACTTCAAATGTATAAAACTGAAAGTGTGTGCACTTTTTCTTTTGGATAAGTAACATAAAAAGATTGATGTTTTAGAAAATGGAGCTTGCTGTTATGTTTTCTGGAATGAGGGAGCTCCAGCCCACCAACTGATGTTTCAGAATTAAGCATGAATTCATGGTGCTCACTGCCTGTTGATCTAACACACCACATCTGTACATGCTTTCCACAGGCTATTTTACTTATTACTAGAAAGCAAATGTCTTCTAAAAACTGTTTACTCAAAAGGACTTCCAATTGAACTGAAATTTAAACTGTATCACTTAAGACATGTATTTAGAATACAGTTTTGCCTCTGTAACTTCTGGTGTAAGGAGTAATGGGCGGCACCAGATTTAACTTTTCTTCAAGGAGAATACAAGCCTTAATAAATAATACCTACTTAAACAGATCTTTTTTTTTTAAGGCAAGTGCATACTCATCTGATGCCCTTTAATGTGATGGACCTTCCTTTAGAATTTACAGCAGACATGTCAAATGTGCAGCCTAGGGGCTGGAACTGGCCTGCTCAGGGCTCTTTTCTGGCCCACAAGCAACTGGGGGGGGGTACCCATACTGAATGTGGACTGGAAGAGCCCATATTAGGGTATTATACCCCCTGCTGAGGTACCTCCCTTCCCCAAATGTGGGCCCTCCCCAGGGTCTTCCCCTAGATCTCCAGGGATTGCCCAACCTGGAGTTGGCAGCCATAAGCAGTGAGGAGGGCTGGTTTTGTCCTAACTAATCTCTGCACAGCCAGTCCTCTTGGGGCCTGCCTGCTGCCCTTGGCCAAGGCGCTGGGCCACTCACCTCCTTCGACCAGAGCACATTGGGCTCCTGCCTCTTCCACCTGGGCTGCTGGAAAGATGACTGGTTATTCATGTGTGGCAGGTAGAATCTCTTTGGACACACTTCTCTCAGCCCAGCCCAGCAGCTTCCCACTTTGTGGGCAGCCCAGGGAAGGCACCCGTGGGCACAGGTGCCCATGGGAAGCCTCTGGCTAGCTTACCAAACATGCCTGCTTATGTAAGCGTATGAATGGAACAACGGGCTGAGCGCACTGTGCACAGCAGCCCAGGGAAGAGAGAAGCCTGGTGCTTCTATAAGGGGCTCCCCTCGCATGCAGAACACCAAGGGTTTGGGTGGAGGAGGCCCGCTGAGTCAGGTGATATGGAGCCTGCTAGCCCAAATGTGCGCAGCTCCTGTCCTGCCTCTCTCCCTCCGCAGCATGGAGAGGATTAAATAAGAGATGAAGCCATAGCACATGCATGCTCCCTGAGCTCCCCGCACGCGAGTGCTGTCTTATGTAACAGTCTGAATGGAAACGGGGAACAGGTGGTTCAGGCAAAAGTCAGGGATGGGAGCAGACATTCAGAAATGTGTACTAGGTTTGCATACGGCAGAGACAGGCACTGGATGTACATCTGTGCGCTTGCACATGGGAAGTAATATTTTCTGTGCCTGGATAATGCCATGGAGCTGGTAGGAAATAACAGTCTGCAAAAGGCAATTAAAGTGGAGTTGGCATCTTCGGAGAGTGGCAGCACCTCAAGATCTCTTGTGGTGCTGGGGAGAATCATAGCTTCCCTTGTGGTTCAAGCTTATTGCTGAATGCGGGACTTTGACAGCAGGAGATGTGGGATTGTGCAGCTGCCTCCCCTCCTCCCCTCTCTACCCCTCCCTAAAGCCTGCTGACTATAGCAGTTTCTTTAAGGCAGGGCTTACTGGGTTCCCCTACTGATGCCACTTGGTCACCTGCAGCAACAGAATGCAGCATTTCATGCTCCAGCTCATCAAAAACTTCTGAAATGTGTTAGTTTTTTAAAGAGCCACAAGAGTGTCTGGTTCTTGCACCTTGACTGTCAGGCAATAGCTCTCTGTGCTGTGCAAAACTTCTTGTGCACATCGAGCAAAGGGTAGTTAATTAGATGCTAAGAAGGGGTTGGGTCACCGTTGGTGAAGTATCTCCGGTACCTGGCATTACATTTTATGGCAAACATGGCCCAGCTCAACAAAGTCACATTTATGTCAGATCCAGCTCTCATAACAAATGAGTTTGACACCTCTGATTACAGCATCTGCTATTGTCATTCAGCATCTGAAACCACTCCACTCTCTAAGATGTAAGGACATAGACTCACATTTTAACTATATCTGAAAAAATGAGCAGTGACTCACGAAAGCTCATACCCTGCCAAAAATTATGTTAGTCTTATAACAGTTAGCCTGACACTTGATTATTTCATTAACCAGTCAATTATGAAGCTTACAGATTAAGAGCCAAAAAATATGAAACTAAGTGGCATGTAAATGATTCTCAGCACAAATAAATCAGCAGATGAGGAAATACTTAAAAGTGCTCCAACAGTTACTATAACCTTGCAACATTGACTTAATTAAGCAGAATTTTAATAGCTTAACGCAGAAGTGTCGAACTCATTTGTAACGAGGGTCGTATCTGACATAAATTTCACTTTGTCGGGCCGGGCCATGTGTACCATGAATGCAATGTCAGGTACCGGAGATATAAACTGTATAAAGGACAGCAGCTGGTAAACTCCGCGTTCATGTATCCTCACTGCAAGGCCCCATTGCAAAGGAAAACCTATATGTGCAGACTGGAGAGTCAACGGTGCAGCACTGGGCATACACTCCCATGCTGCTTTCCTGCTGCTGCAGACAAGTTTGTTCTGCCATGCTGAAGCCACAATAGGAGTGGCTCCACCCACTCCCTCCCAAACAGTCTTCTATTCCCTCCCTTGCACTAGCTGCTGGTGGGCTGCATAAGAGCCCTGGGTGGGCCAGTTCCGGCCCCTGGGCCTTATGTTTGACACCCCTGGCTTAACGTAACACAACAGTCACTCAGGCTTAAAACACATCTTTAAGCTTTTTGGATGTAACTGAGGTTGAGACATTTATTTGCACTACTGTATTGAATTACTTAAGTTTTTTATTGAGTATATCTATCAGTCGACGAACACACATTCATTATCCATCTTATTGATATACTCATTTTCCATTTTTAACAATCATAATAACCAAACAAAATTTTAAAAAATTCACCTGAGGTCACTATTCCAACAGCCTAAAATTTCTACTCTCATTTAATCCCTCTTCTTTTCATATGCCCGTTTATAATTCCTACCCAACGTCCCCATAGCTTATCTATATATCTAATTCCCAACTTGCCCCCGGAGTGCGGATCGCTAAATCAGCGCTCCGGGGGCAGCTGGGGGGGCGGGGGAGGTTTGTGTACACGTGGGCCAGTCCCCACATGTGCACAAAAATACAAAAAGTTGAAAAAAAATTCGGGGGGATTTTAAATCCCCCCCGAAAGTGCAAGAGCGTTCTGTGCGCATGCGCACAGAACGCTCTGCTGCCGGCCTCGCCGCCGCCGCTTTGGAGCCGGCGGTCTGGCCGGCCAGCCAGCCAGCCGGAGCCCAGCGAGGCCCCGGCAGCTACAAGCTGCCGGGCCTCGCTTCGGAGGGGAGG